TCGTAAGTAGGGGAAAGTTGCTTTTTCTTATATAAATTCCATTGTTGATGTTATTAAAAAGGATTAGGGTGGAGTTGAAGTAGTTGAAAATGTAATTAATCTAATCCCTTTAACAAGAATTTTTTTCATATTGATAATTCTCTATAACAACAAGCATTACAGTTCATACCCATGTGAAATATTTACACTCAATATTTTAGTGTATAATCTCTCCTCTAGCTTTCTATATCAGGAATAAGATTTAGCTTTCTTTTTCTTTTTCTCTCCCCACCTAAAATGTAAAGACCAAAAGAAATCCTTTTACTTTTTTTCTCTTTGCATCCTCTGCTAATTTTCTCACAATGCCTTTGTCTCTAGGTAATTTATGTTAATGGCAATCAAATCATTAATCTCCCCAAAGAGTAGGAATGCTCTGAAAAGAGGAGACTGGTCCAATTGATTTTTTTTTTTTGGTATCTTTTGTCATTTGGTACAGATTCTCATTTCAAATGATTTGTTTACCCATCGATTGCAATAAATTGTTATGCTGCTGAAAATATCACTAAGAGTAGAGTCAGATGAAGGACGAAACTGTCATTCTGGCCAACCTCCTCTGATTATCTCCAGTGTAAATTGGGAATTGTTCTTAATCTGCTCAAATGTCATGTTATCAGAGAGACCTTCTCTGACCTCCTAATATAAAATTACAATCACCATCCCCTCCCACTAACACTCATCCCTCTAATTGGATTTATTTTTCACCATAGCAGTTATCACCATGGGCCATTATAAAGCATTATATGTTTGCTTAATGCATCTCCTCCAACTAGGATGGAGACACCACAAAAATAAGGACTTGGATTTGTTTACTGTTATATCAAGTGCCAAGACAAGTTCCTTAAATATTGTTGTATAATAGGCAATCAATAAAAAATTGTTGAGTGAATGAGACTTTGCTCTCATCTCTCAGGTGCCTAAAGCACCAGATCTGTGTGAAGCTATGAGAGACTTTCCATAAAGACTTGTCAACCTTTACCCAGAGCTGGCTGTCCTGCTCAGCCCAAGGGGAAGGGTGCCCCTCCCTGTGGAACAAAAGCAGAGACCTAGAGCTTCGTGTGGCCATGTCTTCATTAAAGGACTAATACTGGGTTGTGAGGTACTGTCTGACCTCCACGTGTTTACAATTATAAGAAAATATAGAGAATCTCAAAGGGGGATGCCCTGCAGGGTACTACTTCTGTGGCATATCAATAGGGGTTACTAAGCTATTTAACTTAGGACTCCATGGCAAAATAAGTTTTTGAAACTAGGTGTATTTTGTGCAGCTAAGCAAGGATCTTAATTTCAAGGTATCCCAGATGTATGATTATGCTCATCAGGGCTAAGACAAGCTCTTAGACACTTTTTCTCAAACATTTGATCCCAGCCATTTTCTTTCTGACAATGCTGTTTCTAAGAGAGTGTTACAACACAGAGGACTCCATTGAGTTGGGTATTGAGCAGACCAGGCAGGGGTAGGAGAACAAGTTCTGGCTCAGATTCTTACGGTCGGCTATGTGATCTTGGGCAAGTTCCTTAACACTTCGCTATGCCTTGATTTCCTGTTCTGTGAGGTAGGGATGAAAGGGATTTTCCCAAGACAAGTAAACTATCCAACACATCAGGGATGACTAAATGGTGGATATTGTCAATGCCATATACTGAATGTATATATAAATGCATTTGAGATAGATTTCTTCAAGCATTTCTGTGACGCGTTTGTTAGGATTTGTACCCACCCCACTCCCCGTAGAAGAGCTGGCTGTGCCTTCTCGTCCTCTGGTCCCAGCACCTTGTCCTCATGCTCCATGCTCCTAGGCTGAAGGTGAACAAATGCTGTATTTCAACATGACTTGATACAAATGTCTGTTGGCTCCCTTTGGTGTACCCCACAGAGCTGGTTCCCTTTGTTCCCTCACTCCTGACCTCAGATGAAGACACATTCCTCAGGAGGAAGGGGGGTAATGTCCAAGTCAGTGATTGTGCAGATGGCTGCATGCTGACAGATTTTTAAGTGACCATATTTTTTTTGGTAAATTTCAAAGGAAGGTGAGATTTGTGTGAATCTGACCCCTTCCAGTAAAATGCGCATTTACATATATTTAGAATTTATAAATCCTGACAGATTCCACAATATTTATAGCCCTCCATAAAAAGCCTTTGCCAGTTTGCAGAGCTTTGCATTTGGCTCTCTGGTATGCTTAAGAGAACTTAAATAATAATAAATTTGGTGATTTATTCCACCTGGAACAGAAACTTATCCCCACCCCCTTGGATCATTTTGAAGGGGATACCTATAAATAGTGCCACAGACGCTGGGATCAGGAATAGGGAATTGAAATTTGAGAGAGAAGTACAGAAACATTTTCATCATCACTGATTTCTTGAGTATATTTTTAAAACAGTTCTGTTCTTCAAATAATGTACCTTCTCCCCTTTCTCCTGCCTCATCTCAATTATACTTGAGTCTCCCAGACCTGTTGCCAACTTTAAGATCCAATTGCATTAATGGGAAAAAGAGACTGAGAGTATTAGCTGACTAGGTAGGAGAGAGTTGCCTCTAGGGAGGCCAAAGCAATTCTCCAATGTTCATCTTGTATTTCATAGGAGTCAGCAGGTAACTGAGCATCGATACCGAAAGTGTATATTCATTATTTGAGATTCATCTCATGCATCCAACAGGTATGAAAAAAGTTCCAAGTTCCTGAAGAAGACGAAAGGACATCTAATTGTAATTGTAAGAGACAGTCTAAGGACAATGTCAAAGGGTAGATTCTTTTACCCATCCATACTCATGATCACCTGGTACAGGGCAAGAGAGAGTCGTTCCTCCTTATCCATATTTCCTCTTTCCATGGTTTCATTTACCCGTGGTCAACTAGGGTCCAAAAATATTAAATGGGAAATTCCAGGAATAAATAACTTATGAGTCTTAAATTATGCACTATTCAGAGTAATGTGATGTAATCTCTTGCCATCCTGCTCCATCCCACCCCGGCCATGAATCATCCCTTTGCCTGGAGAACCCGTGTTATTTCCACTACATGCTCATTTGTCATTTAGCCAAGGTCTGAGTTATCAGATCAACTGCCTGATGTTATAGTGCTGTGTCCAGGTGCCCGGGCATAGTAACCACACACCTTCTTACAATGACTATGTCATTCACACACTTCCTCTCCTCACATTGTGTCATCTCACATCATCACAAAAAGGATGAGTATAATAAAACATTTTGAGAGAGACCACATTTACATAAACTTTGTTACCATGTATTGTTATAATTGTTCTATTTTATTATGAATTACTGTTGTTACTCTTTCACTGTGTCTAATTTATAAATTACTGTTTATTATAGGTAAGTATGTATAGGAAAAAGATAGAGGATTCAGTACTATCTGTGTTTTCGAGCTTTCACTGAGGGGTTAGGAAAATATCCCCTGGGGATAAGGAGGGACTACTGGACCTGAGTAGTGGCTTCCAAATAATTCTATTTGTTATTTTCTAAAATAACATAAATAAAAATGGGGAGCCAGTCATTCTCCATAGGATCCCCTGATGAAAGCCACAAGCAGCCACTTAGTGTAGCACAAGCAGTGTTATTACAATGCTGAGACACTGATATAATAAGATTTAGTTCCAGTTACTTGTTTGGATTGGAAGGGAAGTAGCCTTTGACAGAAGGAGAATAATGATAATAGTAATTAACATCGATGGAGGGCTGCTATGGGCTGCCGCAGAGTTTGGTTTGCAACACCGTCCTAATTATACAGTCGGCCCTCCATGACCAAGGGTTTTGCATTCCACAGATTCAACCAACCATGGGTTGGAAGTATTGAAAAAACAAAATTCAGAAAGGTCCCCAAACAAATCTAAATTTGCTGTGTGCTGATAACTGTGTTGAATTCAGGCAAAGGAGGTGACATGTGGGTACGTGCTACTGTGGCCTTCACCATTTCCCCGATCCTCAGTCTCTCCAGGGCTCGTTGTTTGAGCATGGTTCGCCCCATCTCATTCCTGCACTATGTGCTTAGGCCTCTGATATCTGTTTCTGTACTGAACATGTACAGATTTTTTTCCCATCAATATTCCCTAAGCAATGAGAACAACAACTATTTACATAGCATTTGCATTATGCTAGGTATTATAAGTAATCTAGAGGTGATTTAAAGTATGTGAGGGGATACGTGTAGGTTATATGAAAATACTATGGCATTTTATACAAGGCACTTGAGCATCTGCAGATTTTGGTGTCAATGAGGGTTCTGGAACTGGTCCCTCATGAATACTGAGGGATGATTATAGCAGGTTTTCTTGGAACACCCCCCCCAAACCCCAAGTCTTTCCTGAGCAATCCTCTTATTCCAGCTAATCGGATGGCAGATGTTTGGACCAAGCCCCAGAGCCTGCAGTGTACCACATTTTAATGATTTGTGGTGAATAAAGTAAATGTTTTAAAACCAGACTTTATGAAGCAGAGACCCAGTTAAGTATGATGGATGGGAGGCAAAGCTGAGAGAAACTGAACATTGCATGGGGGCATTGCTTCTCAAGCAGGACATGGGTTTATGGTTCATGGGTAGTTCTAAAATCTTGCTTGAAAAATGACTTTTTAAGGAACTATGCTCTTAAGCAATGTCCTTGAGGCAGGGGGAATTTCCCTTGCTCTTCCATAACATCTTTCTAAGAGGGAGCGGAGGTACTGAGCTGTTAGACGGTTGCTCTATGTCTTAGTGTTTCTGTGATCTAACACATATGGGATAAAAAACTGTTAAAAGTCCATAGAAGGAAACAAGACTAGAAAATTATCATATTTATTATGTTTTGTTTTTTTAAAAAAACTATTATAGAGGATAATCTGTTTAAAACAAATAAAAATGATTATTGAGAACTTTTTTATTTTCATGCCTCTTAGCAACAGCAACATGGCAAGACCTGAGTTGACCCCGTGTTTTAATGTGGCACCTCTTGTTCTTCCTCCACAGGGCAATCCCTACATGTGCAATAATGAGTGTGATGCAAGCACCCCTGAGCTGGCACACCCTCCTGAGCTGATGTTTGACTTTGAAGGAAGACACCCCTCCACATTTTGGCAGTCTGCTACTTGGAAAGAGTACCCCAAGCCTCTCCAAGTTAACATCACTCTGTCTTGGAGTAAAACCATTGAACTCACAGACAACATAGTTATTACCTTTGAATCAGGGCGTCCAGATCAAATGATCCTGGAGAAATCTCTCGACTATGGACGAACATGGCAACCCTATCAGTATTATGCCACAGACTGCTTGGATGCTTTTCACATGGACCCCAAATCTGTGAAGGATTTATCACAACACACCGTCTTGGAAATCATTTGCACAGAAGAGTACTCCACGGGGTATACAACGAATAGCAAAATAATCCACTTCGAAATCAAAGACAGGTTTGCATTTTTTGCTGGACCTCGGCTACGGAATATGGCTTCCCTCTACGGACAGCTGGATACCACCAAGAAACTCAGAGATTTCTTCACAGTCACAGACCTGAGGATAAGGCTGCTGAGACCAGCTGTTGGGGAAATATTTGTAGATGAGCTACACCTGGCACGCTACTTTTATGCCATCTCAGACATAAAGGTGCGAGGAAGGTAAGAGAATGTCTGCCTCAATTAGGAATGGGTGTGTCCAAAGGAATCACCAGTGTGTTGAGGCTGCAGTTCCTAAGATGGCATTTGTCAATTTCTGCTGCAACATTTTCTCAGGAATACCAGTGTGCTGGTACATTCTGAAGGTATTTGAGATCCTTTGGACTCAGCAGTAATTTGTAATCTCAGACATGCTGAGAAACCTGGTGGGCCTGGTGGGATTATTATTTATTTATTTATTTTGTAGTTGTAGATGAGCAAAATGGCATTATTTTGTTTGTTTATATTTATATGGTTCTAGGGATCCAACCCAGTGCCTTACACATGCTAGGCAAGTGCTCTGCCACTGAGCTACAGACCCAGCCCGGCCTGGTGGGATTCTTAAGAATTCAAATGAAAACAAAAAAAAAAAGAGGAGGTATCTTACTTAAGACAAAGGAATTCCCTTGGTCAGGAGGTTTTTAGTTTTTTGTCATTAAGGCAATTAAAACGTAGGGATTAAATTCTATTGTTCTAAAAGGGACTGAAAAACAAGAAATAGATCTTGTAATTTTACATGCAAGGAGATTATAACACACAGTACATCAATCTGTTCATATTTGTTATATTGGACCAAAAAATCTGGAAATGAAAGCTATATTTCTTTGCATTTATTAAATCAGAACCATAAGCATTAGGAAATAAAGCATCTGTTTAAGTAGGGACAAGTTCTACTTCTTAGGTTTTTGGGTGCTTTTGTATTGAAATGATGTGCCACATTTAAAATATGGACTTGAATTGGTGCCCTTCATTTGGTAGATCAATCACAGATGGACCAGGGTTGCAATACTAATGGTCACTGTTTAGAACAAATAAAAATGCTTGTCTTTGATTTTGACAATATATTAGAAACATAATGAAGTTTCCAAGAATTTTGAATTGTTGTTTCAATGACAAATTTGAATAATGAGAACCAGGACTACCAACATAGATATTCCCAACCAGCTTTGCAAGTGTGGCATAGTATCAAAATAGCCAACTAATGAAAGTGGAAGCCTAGGTTCGTGAGTAGGGAAAACTGAAGGTAAGAGTATAATTCATAAAAATGGAAATAAAGGAAAGGCAAGTAAAGCTATAATCACTCCAGAAAATGCCAAGAGAGCTTGAAGTTATAATATATGAGGATAACAATATAAGCGGTACGTCTGTCATGTTGGTTTAATTAAATAATCATAAAATTTAGACAGAATTAATTCAATTTACTGGTTCCCGGCATCCCTTAGGGCAGCCAAGTCCTCTGAAACTGGACAAGTGATGAGATCTGGCTTTCGGAGACTTACCTTGTGTAATGCTAGAATGAGGAAGAAGTCTCTGCTGCTAAAGAAAGGGCCGTAGTGGGTACCCAGACTAGAGTGATGGGCACAACCTCTCAGAGTGGTATCAGGATCTTAGCTGTGGAGAAGTAGCAGGAACTCTGTTCCTCAAGGAAGAAAGAAACTGTAACTATGGAACCTTATTTTAAACTTTTAACTAAGGTCTTGGTGATGGATGATGAAAGTATCTTTAAAGCCAAATATTTTTGAGAGATATATGCCCTGATACATTTGTATTTCAAGCTTGCAGGTTCCAGAGTATAGAGAGCAGTTCATGTATTAGCAGAGAACCATGACAGTATGATAGGGAGATGTTGCCTTGAACATGAGTTTGCTGTTTATAATAAAATGCAGCCATTATTATGCTTAGGAACATTTTAGCAAAAAAATATTAATTTATATTATCTTATTCTGGAGGACATATATGAAAATAATTGATGTTGATATTATTAACAATAATATATCTAAATCAAGTAGTAAGTATTAGATTCATCTATAAGATTAAAGGTCAAAATTAATAAACTGAGATTTGGATTTGAATCCTAGCGTGAGCTACATTGCTAGGTATATTTATATAGGTCAGTTTCCTTACAGTTTGAGAAATCCTTAATCTGAGTCCAAGTTGCTATAACCCAACTCCTCCAATCACTTGCCCTTCCACTTGTCAAGAAGGCAATCTTAAGAAACCTTGTGGCTGGGAAACACCATTGTTGGAGTTTATTTTTGACACTGGGTATCCATTTATCTTTCATCTGATTGTTTAAAAGAATCAATTGTTTAGAAGAAACAATCAGATCAAAGGAAAATACAAAATACATTTTAAAAGTAAAGACATTTTTATGCCTTCTCCACTGGGGTCAGATAGGCCATCTGAAGGTGGCATGTTAGAAATTTCAGAATCCCTCCAAATTTATCATTTTCTTTTGTCTTCCTACCATCCTTTCACCTGCATTTCTGTGGTTCTGGGGAATTTGCAGGAGCCCTCCTCCCTTCTCTGGGACTCACCTCCCCTGTCTTTTCCTGTTCACCAGTCAACTGTAAGCTAGTGAGAAGCAGCTGGGCAAAACAGAAAGGTCCAGTAGAGGTGAGCCCCTTCCATGAGGTCCACTCTTTCACCTACACACTCTGTCCAGATTCCTCAGGGCGGAACCAATGCTGGCATGTACTGCACTAGGCACCAGATGGCTGGAGTATTTTTAGTCTTAGGGGAGGGACCAAAGAAGCAAAGCCTGATGGCTCCGGCGTGTCTCCAGCTTTCAAGTTATATAAGGAAGATCTGCTCATGATAGAGCCACTGAAGGGAAATACTGAGCAATAGCCTGGTTCATAGGCCTTTCAGCAGAGACACTAATTATTTTACCTTTGAAAATTTCAGTAGGATTAATGGCCTAGATGGTCTTTCTCCTATATAACAAATCTCCTATAGAGGTTTGAATATTGATTGATGATTTGAAAAGAAAGTTCTAAATATTATTTTCCAAAACAATCATACATATATATTTCCAAAATTATAAGTGAGGTCTTTGTTTCATTTACCCACCCCAACATCCCATGAAATTATGGCAACATTTTACATGCCTCTGCCTACACATCTGTATCTGATAACGATAATGATATTTTTCTACTTGTTACTTTGAAAACCAAAATGTGAAAATTGATATGAGTTGTTTTTAAATAGTGCAATGGAGTCCAGATGGAAACATTCATAGAATAAAAGAATACAAAATGTTTCATCTTGAAATATTAAACTATGAAACAAAAATAATTAGATATCTTTGTTTAAAGTGGCTGTGAATTCCAATTTTCTACATTTTCTGTGCATGCGTTTACTTTCTACTGACTGGTGTCATTTTGTGTGAAAATTATGTTTTGATTGTCATTAGACTAATGTGACATTTATGTTCTTTTCAGTATGTAATACATGTGATACCTATTTTACTAGTTACAAAAACCATAATCTCATCATAAGTAATTTATTCCTCTTTTGCTATACTTATTTTGCTTTCATTTACTCCTTCTCATTGTGTATTTATTAAGATAATGGAGGGAAAGAGGAAACATGGCTATTGGCAATCTCAGCGACTCCGTAGTACTTACATTGTTCAATAAACCTAATAATCTTCATGGGCTAATTCTGACTTATGGATGTCCTGCTTCAGTAAATCAGGGTGATTTTCTCTAGTGAATAATAGAAGAGTGCAGTGTGCCAGTACCTTAATTAAAGAGCAGCTCTCTTAGTCTTGATCTCATTTTAATTTACAGGGTAATACTACAATAATATCACTAATGGAAGGTACATTAAAGGGCATCAAGTAGCATTAACTGTATTAAATTATGGTACTTGTGTTAATTAACTGCTGAAGCAAGATGGTTCTAATGGCCAAAAAGGTCGTCTAGTGCATAAATAAAATCTACTCAGATGAAGGGTGAGAGAAGAAATGAAGAGAGTAGATGTTTGTTCTGAACATCTTTTCATACAGACACGGGGTTAAATTTAAAAGCTGTAAGTACAGATAACGTCCAAATGTTTCTTAGTTACATAATTGGATGCTGTGATTTTTTTAGTTATTTTGTTTCCCTCTAAGGATTCCATAAATTAATTAAAAAATTGAACATTTTATTTGTCAGATGCATAGATTTTATTAGAATGTATACTCAACATTCTTTATGGTTTCTTTGAGGTGAGCAGTTCAAGGAAGTAATGCTATTTATTTTAATAGTTCTTACATCTGAAAGATAAATGAATGTTTGGCAATATGCTTATTTATTTTTATGACATATTATCAGCAATGTACCGACTTATTGGTTTCAGTCATAAGAAAATAGAAATTCTGTTTTAACAAAACTTTATGAGAATTGAAAGAAATTTCCCCAATGGCCTAGAAAACTCAAATCAACATCTCTTTTACTTGCTATCTTTATATTCATAATGATACGTATCAGTTACTTTTTCCATTCCTTCTCTACTTCAGTACCTACTCAGACTCCTGTACAGTTTTCCAAATAGTAAATACAGATCACCAAACTTTATCCACTGTTTAGTGTTTAGTATCTGCTGTTTCAGTTACTCATGTCCAAAAATACTAACTGGAAAATTCCAGAAATAACAATTCATAAGTCTTAAATAAATTTTATTACAGAATATTATTACAATGATTTTATTTTACTATTATTTATTGCTGTCAATCACTCACTGTGCCTAATATATAAATTCAACTTTATTATAGGTATGGATATATGGGAAAAACTGGGGGAAAAACATAGTATATATGGGGTTTGTACTCTCTACTACTCCAGGTATCCACTGGGGTTCTTGGAACATGGTCCCTTCAGATAAGGGGATTCTGCTGCAGAATCTTTTTGCCTTTTTACCTCCATTGCTTACCTCAGGAGAGGAGCCTGGGAGCATTATCTCACAGCCTCCCTTCAGGAAATGTCTTTGATGCCATTTTCAATTCACCTCTGCCTGGCTCAGAACCACACTCTCCTTTGCCTAATCACAGGGTCATGAAAGAGCCAGGGACAAAGCTGCCCTGCCTGGGTACTGGAGAGAGAAAGCTCCCCTCCCCACTAGAAAAGCAGCACTTTCATTTATAAACCTTTACCGTTTGAACGTCTTGGTGTTTGCCATAATTAGGAAAAGGTGGAGTT